GAATCGCCTGAACGTGTTGTCCAGAGGTGCTTGTGTTGTGTGCCACGACTGTCAGGTGTATCAGGATGACAACCGCTGTGTGAGCGCTCGGAACGACGCGACCGAGGAAAAGCCGCGACCACCACCGCCCGGCACGGCCGCACTGCCCCACAGGAGGGCCCACCTGCAGCTTCGCGGCGAGGCGGTCGCGCTTGGCCCGCTCTGCCGCGTCCGCGCCGGCGGCGCGCTGCTGGTTGTAGCTGGCGCGCTGCCGCGCCTCCTCCGCGTGCGCGGCCCTCTGGGCCTCGAGCTCCTGCTTGCGCTGCGGGCCAGATTGCGTGGTGCGCACAGCGCCATGCCACGACACGCCGCGCAAGAACGGGCGTCGGGCGGGCAAAGGGAATGCATAATTGAGCTTGGCGGGTGGGGAGTGACGGGGCGCGCACGGGGGCAGCAGCAGCAATTTCAAAGATGCGGCTTGCAACAGCGGTGCACCCGCTGTTTCTTATGTCGGCTGCGCCGGCTGGAATGCTTTGGAACGCAGTCGAGCAAGGGGAGGCAGGCGGCTGGTACCACTGCACAACTCGGGCCGCTGTCAGCTGTGGGTGAGTCCCGGCCCATGACTGACCTGCTCTCCAGCACCGGGCTCACGCCTCCCCCCCCCCCGCAGCGGGCCGCATTCCCTCACGCACCTCCGCCAGCTGTCGGTCCCTCTCCTGCGCCCTGAGGCCGTAGTAAGAGCTGCGCGCCGCCTGCTCGCTCTCCGCGCGCTGCCGCAGCTCGTCGCGCCGTACCGCCCACAGCGCCTCCTCCTCGCGGCGGATCTCGTCTTGGATCAGGCGCAGCTGCGCGCGGGCGCGCGCGGGCGTGTGTGTGCGCGTGCGTGCGCGCATGTGTGTATTGTCATAATGAGGGTATTGTGAACTCATACGTGTGCAGTTGTAAACTGTAATCAATAGACGTAGCGCAGGAGCTGTCCGGCCCACACAAGCGCGCCGCACGGTGTTTGGGACGCCGACCGCCGCCCGAACAGAGTGTCCCCTCGCCCACAACCGCGCGCCTTGCCCGCCGACCCCACTCCCCCCAAAAGCGCGCCCCCACGCCCGCCCCCGCCCCCCCAGCCGCGCACCTCCTGCCGCTGCTGCAGGTGCCGCTGCTCCTGCGCCTGCTTCTCCTCCAGCGCCGCCCTCCGCGCGTCCAGCTGCGCCTCGTGGTTCGCGTAGATGCGGCGGCGGCGCGCCTCCAGGCGTGCTGACTGGACACGTGCGAATTCACACAGCAGACTCCGCTGCCTGAGCATGTCATCCTGTTTATATGTGAAGAAAGTGGGGGCCGAACAAACCACCCGCGCGCGCGCGTGGGAGAACGGCCAGCTGCGGCGCGCCGGGGCTTTGGGAGGCGGACCGCGGCCGAAGGGCCCGCTGCCCGCGGGGGGCCGCGGCCCTGCTCATTTGCACGAGCGTCCGGACTGCGGCTGCTGCCGCCCCGCGCCCCCGGCGCGCTAGGGGGGCTGCGACCCACCCCCACGGGGCCCCGGCCGTGGCGCGGCGCGCAGGCTTGTGCGCGCGCGGGAGCGCCTGGACCCACCGTCCGCTGTTTGGCAGCCTCGAGCTTCCCGACCAAGGCGCTGCGCCACATGTCCCGCGTGCGGCCCGCGGCCTCCTGCGCCGCGGCGTTGCGCGTCTCCACGTTCCGGTGGTGCTCCAAGCGGCGCGCCTGGGCCTGCGGACGGGGTGCGTTGGCAGAAGGGGCGGCGGCCCCGCTCGGTGTGCGTCGTCAGACCTCCGCATCCCGGCAATGTCAGCCGTGTGCAGACTTCCAGGTGGCCTTGCGGCGGGGTCATTTGCTGAGCCAGCC